AAACACATGCAGATAGAGGAAAGAGCAACTAAGCATGAACCAGACCACTTCCATACACATGAACTTGACAATGATGGGATTGAACTACTGAAAGGTACATGCACATACAGGAAAGAGCAACTAAGTATGAACCGGAACACTAAAATACACATGGACTTAGCAATGAGAAGATTGAACTAGTGAAAAGATACATGCACATAGAGGAAAAAATAACTAAGTATGAACCGGAATACTACAATACACATGGACTTAACAATGAGAAGATTGAGCTAGTGAAAGGTACATGCACATGGGGGAAAAATCAACTAAGTATGAACCGGATCATCACAATACGCATGAACTTGACAATGAGAAGATTGAACTAGTGAAAAGCACATGCACATGTAAGAAGAAGCAACTAAGTATGAAGTGGAATGTCCTTTTGTGGGAGTTGAGTCATGCATGCGAGTGAGACTTGCTCAAACACATGCTCATGGTTCAAGGATGCAACCAAATTTGAAATGGGATTTCATCATGAGAGAGTTGAGACATGCATGTGAGTGAAACTTGCTCAAACAAATGCTCATGTCTTATAAATGCAACTAAGTTTGAAACGGAATGTCATCATGTGAGAGTTGAGTCATGCATGTGAGTGAGACTTGCTCAAACACATGCTCATGTCTCATGAATGCAACCAAGTTTGAAATGGAATGTCATTTCTGAGATTTGAGTCATCCATGTGAGTGAGACTTGCTCAAACACATGTTCACGTCTCATGAATGCAACCAAGTTTGAAACAGAATCTCATATTGTGATAGTTGAGTCATACATGTGAGTGAGACTTGCTCAAACACATGATCATGGCTCATGTATGCAACCAAGTTTGAAACAGAATCTCATATTGTGAGAGTTAAGCCACTCATGTGAGTGAGACTTGCTCAAACACATGATCATGGCTCATGAATACAACCAAGTCTGAAATGGAATGTCATCATCCACTATGCGAGTGGAAAGCACAAGCTAGACTAGTCCCAAAACACAAGTCTTGAACACGAAATCATTCATGGCAGAATCGGAGCATCCTCTACTAACATATGAGTGAAAAGCAAGACTTACATTAGACCAAATTACACGTATTGAGCATGAGATCATCCATAGATGAATCGGAGCATCACCTACTAGCATGGGAGTGAAAAACATGATCTACAATAGACCAAATCACAAGCATTGAACATGAGATCATCCATGGAAGAATCGGAGCATCTCCTACTAGCATATGAGTGAAAAGCAAGACTTACATTAGACCAAATCACACGTATTAAGCATGGGCTCATTCATGGACGAATCGGAGCATCTCCTACTAGCATGTAAGTGAAAAGCAAGATCTACACTAGACTAAATCACAAATATTGAGCAAGAGGTCATCCACGGAAGAATCGGAGCATCTCCTACTAGTATATGAGTGAAAAGCAAGACTTACGTTAGACCAAATCACAAGTATTAGGCATGAGATCATTCATGGAAGAATCAGAGTATCTCCTACTAGCATGTGAGTGAAAAGCAAAATTTACACTAAGTCTATATCACAATATTTGAGCAACAGATCATCCATGGAAAATCTAAGCATCTCCTACTAGCATGTGAGTGAAAAGCAAGAGTTACACTATGCCAAAGCACAAGATTTGATAATGAGACCATCCATGAAAGAATCGGAGCAATACCTACTAGCAGGTGAGTGAAAGGCAAGAGTTACACTAGGTTATATCACAAGATTTGAACATGAGATCATCCATGAAAGAATCGGAGCATCACCTACTAGCATGTGAGTGAAAAGCAAGAGTTATACTAAGCTATATCACAAGATTTCAACAAGAGATCATCCATGGAAGAATCGGAGCATCACCTACGAGCATGTGAGTGAAAAGCAAGAGTTACACTAGGTTGTATCACAAGATTTAAGCATGAGATCATCCATGAAAGAATCGGAGCATCACCTACTAGCATGTGAGTGAAAAACAAAAGTTACACTATGCTATATCACAAGATTTCAGCAATAGATCATCCATGGAAGAATCGGAGCATCACCTACTAGCATGTGAGTGAAAAGCAAGATTTACACTAGGTCTATATCACAAGATTTGAGCAAGAGATGATTCATGAAAGAATCGGAGCATCACCTACTAACATGTGAGTGAAAAGCAAGAGTTACACTAGGCTATATCACAAGATTTGAGCAAGGGATCATCCATGGAAGAATCGGAGCATCACTTACTAGCATGTGGGTGAAAAGCAAGAGTTACACTAGGCTATATYACAAGATTTGAGCATGAGATCATCCATGAAAGAATCGGAGCATCACCTACTAGCATGTGAGTGAAAAGTAAGCGTTACACTAGGCCATATCACAAAATTTGAGCAAGAGATCATCCATGGAAGAATCAGAGCATCACCTATTAGCATGTGAGTGAAAAGCAAGAGTTACACAAGGTTATGCCACAAGATTTGAGCATGAGATCATCCATGAAAGAATCGGAGCATCACCTACTAGCATGCGAGTGAAAAGCAAAAGTTACACTAGGCTATATCACAAGATTTGAGCATGAGATCATCAATGAAAGAATCACAGCATCACCTACTAGCATGTGAGTGAAAAACAAGAGTTACACTAGGCTATATCACAAGATTTGAGCAAAAGATCATCCATGGAAAAATCGAAGCATCACCTATTAGCATGTGAGTGAAAAACAAGAGTTACACTAGGCTATATTACAAGATTTAAGGAAGAGATCATCCATGGAAGAATCGGAGCATCGCCTACTAGTATGTTGGTGAAAAGCAAGAGTTACACTAGGCTATATCACAAGATTTGAACATGAGATCATCCATGAAAGAATCTGAGCATCACCTACTAGCATGTGAGTGAAATGCAAGAGTTCCACTAGGCTATATTACAATATTTAAGCATGAGATCATCCATGAAAGAATCAGAGCATCCCCTACTAGCATGTGAGTGAAAAGCAAGAGTTACAGTAGGCTATATCACAAGATTTGAGCATGAGATCATCCATGAAAGAATCGGAGCATCACCTACTAGCATGTGAGTGAAAAGCAAGAGGTACGCTAGGCTATATCACAAGATTTGAGCATGAGATCATCCACGAAAGAATCGAAGCATCTCCTACTAGCATGTGAGTGAAAAGTAAAGTCTACACTAAGCAAAATCATAATTATTAAGCATGAGATCATCCACGAAGGAATCAGAGCATCACCTACGAGCATGTGAGTGAAAAGCAAGAGTTACACTAGGCTCTATCACAAGATTTGAACATGAGATCATGCATGAAAGAATCGGAGCATCACCTACTAGCATGTGAGTGAAAAGCAAAAGTTACACTAGGCTATATCACAAGATTTGAGCATGAGATCATCCATGAAAGAATCGGAGCATCTCCTACTAGAATGTGAGTGAAAAGCAAGAGTTACACTATGCTATATCACAAGATTTGAGCAAGAGATCATCCATGGAAGAATCGGAGCATCACTTATTAGCATGTGAGTGAAAAGTAAGATCTACACTAGACTAATAGGGAGGAGAAAAAAGAGAGAAGAAGAAGGGGAAGTGGAAGAAGAAAAAAAAAAAAAAATTGAAAAAAAAAGAAGAAGAAGAAGAAGAGGGAGAAGAAGAAGAAGAAGATGAAGAAGGGAAGGAAGAAGGAGAAGAGTGAAGAGGGGGAAGAAAGAGAAGAAAGAGGAAGAAGACGAAAAAGGGAGGAGAAGAAGAAGAAGAAGAGGAAGAAGAAAAAGAAGGAGAAAAAGAAGAACAAGAAGGAGGAGAATCTCCTCCTTTCCACCCACCTTCTTGTTGCCTTGAAGATGGAGCCTCAAACTTGATAAAGCTTCCTCCTTTTTGCACAACTACCTCATTGGCTAAGGCGTTCTTCTTCCTCAAGCCCCTGTCCTTCGTCTCTCATTTCTTTCCCAAGTTGCCACAAGGTCCTATCGCCATGGCTGTGGAGTCCTCCCCTCTAGGAGGAGGGCTAATGGGACTCCCTCTAGCCTCTCTTTCTTCCTCACACCCTGGGGGCTATGACGGATCACGTCCCTAATGCCAGCCTCACTATCACTGACCTCTAGAGCTCCTCTCCCTAGCTCATAGCCTCCACCAAATTCCCAAACTGGCATGGGTTCCCCTCTCCTCTCTCCAAGTGAAATAATATTCCTATGAGCTCACTTGGGCAGCATGGATACTCCTCATGCAGTTGTGAATGTGGTGGATTGAATTCCCAGCTTATGTAGGCTGAAATCAGGAGTCGGGCCAGCCCATGCGCCTCCCCATTCACGGGGACCAGAATGTCGATATCCTCCTGTCTGTCAATGAGCATGAGCTGGGAGCCGAAGTCATCAAATGAAAGTGACGTTCGTCATCTAGCTCCCTTAGAAGGGATGCACTGTCGAGCAGATGATGACGGAACGTGTCAACCTCTGCAATCTGCAGCTGACTGGTGACCATATCATCCTCCCGCGGTGCATCATTGACGTTCTTGAATGGTTCCGAGGGGACACTTGGCCCAAATGCGGAGGAAGACACATCTGCACCAGGTTGAAAGAGCGTGTAGCCACAAAAAAGAAATGAGCTGGTTGTCTGGGAGGCAAGGTGAACTTGCAAAGCTGCATACTCAATCTGCAATTTTGTATGACTCTTTTGCAACAGTAACATCTCAGGTACAATGGCATTGACAGAGTGTCTCGCATCCCCGTCTGCAGCAGCCAGCAACAACCTGCCAAGCCTGAACCTCAACCTCTCAACATCTAAGTGGCAGTAATGAATTCCGCAAACTCTCGCCTCACAGCCATCAACAGATCGTAGAGCACCTCGATTGTAGACAAAGCCTGAGGCTCAGTTACAACGAACTTCAGCGCCGCTTGCACCTCAAGCTAGACCAAGCGATAAAGTAACGTCTCACCAACCCACTGCAACTGACGAATGGTTGACTGTAAATTAGAACGGTCAAAGCCCTGTAGCACGTCATTGTTCGGCAATACGAACAGTAGGTACACAATGCGTGCAAGATCACCCCTCATATTGGAGATGGACAACAGTCTTCTAATCTAGACGTCGAGCCGCACAACTTTCTGCTTGCACTGTGTCATGTTATCCCAAGCAACAAAGTTTTTGTTGACACTTAGATGAATTATTTTATTCCGGAGGTGGTCTATCACTCGCTGCTTGAGTAAAGCCATGCTCCTGTCCAGATCCTCGTCACATTGAGGCCCGTAAACAGGAGCACTCACCACGGAAGACTTCTTCCTGGGGGCAAAGCGGGAAAGTCCTCTTGACGTTACAGTTACCTTCTTTGCGGATTGCTTGCCACTCAAGATCTGAACCACCTCTTGGTGAGACATTCTAACCTTCTGCAGCAAAAATCCCAACTGCTCATCGTGCAATCGCTGCTCATCAGCCAGCGTCTGCCAAAGGAAATCAATCTCCTGCTGTTTGATATACAGGAGATGCAGGAGCTCGTCAAGGGACCACCTAAGCCCATCGACATCCCTATAGTCCTGGCCGAAAACTAGCCGCATTTCAAAATCAGATGGTGTTCTGCTCTCTAGCGGGTAGAACGAAACATCATAGTTCATATCCCGACACGTCCATGCATGGAAAGCGCTACCAGCAACAGGGTGAGGAACAGGTTTTTCCATTGTTGGGAGCGACTCCTGTGATCAGCGGACAAAGCAAAAGAGACATTAACACAGTCTATCTTAAGCAGCAGGGCTCACAGACAGCAGCAGAAACTGGTAACCCAAAAATCAGCAGAGGCAAAGCAGGCCCGGATGACAGACCCATCGAGCAGAGCAGAAGGCCCAAACAGCCACGAAAACAAAACATCGAGGTCCCTCATACTAGTAATTGATCTAACTAGATCACCTCGCGCCCTCAAAGTGCACGCCCACACACTCTCTAATCACATCAAAATGCGAGTGTCACTCCCAACCCCTGAGAGTTGGTAGCGGTCGCTCAGAAATAGGGCACTCTTTCGGATATTGCTGAAAATGCATTTTTTGTGGGATATAAAATTGCGCCCAAATACCCTTGTAAGGGTATTCAGGATGACAGTTGCACCCTTGTAAGGGTATTCGGGCTGACAGTTGTAAGATGACGAATGTTACTTTCATTTTGATGACTTCGGCTCCCAACTCGTGCTCATTGACAGACAGGAGGATATCGACATTCTGGTTCCCGTGGTCCACATCGGTCCCGGGGATGACGATTACGATTTCTATATCGTGCCTCCGGAGTAGGCTCCTCTGTATTGTTTGCTGCTGCTGTTTGTTTTCCGTGTGACTACAGCTTGTCGATTGAGACAGCGGCCGTCGTGTTTGCTGCTGTCCTTTCTTTTCGTGTGCCATCAGCCTGTCCGTTGAGATAGAAACCGTCGGCTGATTTTTGTGATGCTTGAATTGTAAAGTCTCTGTCAAGGTCTGGGCTTCCGCTGGGTTCCTTTTTGCCCTGGAACTTAGCATGCTGTATTTCCGGGTGATTGTACATGACGAGGCTTTAGTGTGTAGATCCGGCTACGTTTTGCAGACGGTCTAGCTGTCTGTCTTTCGAACTATGTTGTTTAGTTGCCGTTCTATCGGCGTCTACCAGACTGGGGTGTAGGGTTTAGGGTTTAGGGTTTTCAGTCTTTTTTTTTTTTTTTTCTTTTAGTTGTTGTTCTTGCGACTGTGCTTTTTGGTGGTGTTGTGCATTGTCAATGGTTGGCGCACTCGGCCGGAGCAGCAAACCGCACTCTACGACGAAGTCTTGCAAAATTTTGCGTGACACGGTCGGGAGGGTCCCCATGTGGGACCGATGTGAGCGACAAGTGTTCCCGCTTCCCGTCTGCAGCAGCCAGCAGCAACCTACCAAGCGTGAACCTCAAGCTCTGAAGATCAAAAGCCTGCTGAACAGTTATGTCATACGTAGCGGCAACAGTTTGCTGGACGAAAGTGGCAGTAATGAATTCCGCAAACTCTCGCCTCACATCCATCAACAAACCGTAGAGCTCATCAATTGTAGACAAAGCCTGAAGCTCAGTGACAACGAACTTCAGCGCCGCTTGCACCTCAGCCTGGACCAATCGATAAAGTAACGTCTCACCAACCCACTGCAATTGACGAATAGTTGACTGTAAATCAGAATGGTCAAAGCCCTGTAACAAGTCATTGTTTGGCAATACGAATAGTGGATATACAATGCGTGCAAGATCACCCCTCATATCGGAGATGAACAACAGTCTTCTAATCTGGACGCACACAACTTTCTGCTTCCACCGTGTCATGCTAACCTAAACAACAAAGTTTGAGCGGACACTGAGATGAATTATTTTATTCCGGAGATGGTCTATCTCTTGCTGCTTAAACAAAGTCATGCTCCTGTCTAAATCCTCGTCACCTCGAGGCCCGCAAGCAGGAGCACTCACTACGAAAGACTTCTTCCTGGGGGTAAAACGGAAAAGTCCCATTAACGTTGCAGTCACATTCTTTGCGGATTGCTTGCCACTCAAGACCTAAACCACCTCCTCGTGGGACATTCTAACCTTCTGCAGAAAAAACCCCAACTGCTCATCATGCAGTCGCTACTGATGAGCCAGCACCTGCTGAAGGGAATTAATCTCCTACTGTTTGATATACAGGAGATGCAAGAGCTCGTCAAGGAACCACCTAAGCCCATCGACATCCCTATAGTCATGGCCGAAAACCTGCCGCATCTCAAAATCTTTTTTTTGCTCTCTAGCGGGTAGAACTGAACATCATAGTTCATATCCCGATACGTCCATGCATGAAAAGCGCTACTAGCAACAGGCTAAGGAACAGGTCCTTCCATTTCTCTGTCCGCTGATCACAGGAGTCGCTCCCAACAACGGAAGGACCTGTTCCTCAACCTGTTGCTGGTACCGCTTTTCATGCATGGACGTGTTGGGATATGAACTATGATGTTCAGTTCTACCCGCTAGAGAGCAAAACGCCGTCTGATTTTGAGATGCGGCAGGTTTTCGGCCAGGACTATAGGGATGCCGATGGGCTTAGGTGGTCCCTTGACGAGCTCCTGCATCTCCTGTATATCAAAAAGTAGGAGATTGATTCCCTTCAGTGGGCGATGGCTGATCAGCAGCGACTGCACGATGAGCAGTTGGGGTTTTTGCTGCAGAAGGTTAGAATGTCCCACTAGGAGGTGGTTCAGGTCTTGAGTGGCAAGTAATTCTTCCTCCTCCATCTACTCCACCCATCCACCATAGCTAAGCACCTTCTGCCTTCTCCCTCCTCCATCTCTTTCTCCCATCCACCATAGTCAAGCACCTCCTACCTTCTTATTCCTCCGTCTCCCGCACGCGTCCTCCATAGCCAGGCACCCCACACCTTCTTCCTCCTCCATCTCCCACACCCGTTCACCATAGCCAAGCACCTTCTACCTTCTTCCTCCTCCATCTCCTTCACCCATCCACCATAGCCAAGCACCTTTGACCTTCTTCCTCCTTCATCTCCTTCACTCATCCACCATAGCCAAGCACCTCCTACCTTCTTCCTCCTCCATCTCCTTCACTCATCCACCATAGCCAAACACCTTCTACCTTCTCCCTCCTCTATCTCCTTCACCCATCCACCATAGCCGGATACCGTGCACCTCCTCCCTCCTGGGTCCCCTTCACCCATCCTCCATAGCCAAGCACCTTGTACCTTTTCCCTCCCCCGTTTCCTTCCGGCACTAGTGTATCATGCTTAAGCAGGGGGTCTGAGGGGCATAGGGCGTCAAGGGTAGGATTAAGAGAAGGATCTGGATAGGCCTAGGAGGACTTCTCTCTGTCTCTTTCTTTCTTTCTTTCTTTCTCTCTCTCTCTCTCTCTCTCTCTCTCTCTCTCTCTCTCTCTCTCTCTCTCTCTCTCTCTTAACACCTTTTTCCTCTCCCCTCCCTTCCGCCGATGTTCCCTCGCCCTTACCCCAAGATAACTCCACCCTTTCCTCCCCTTCTCCCCCCACCTTGGTACATGACTAACCCCCTCCTCACTTTTCATATTGTCAGGGGATGAACGGTAAGAAGGAAGCAACCCTCACTTCGTGGAAGAAGAGGGCAAGGGGAGGGTAGTCGGTCCCTTGCGACACCAAAAAAGAAAAAGAGAAGAAGGAAGGGAAGAACTTGTGATAATCTGGAAAGGCAAAATCTTTGGAAAGAGTGGAGCAAGCAAGAATTTGACAAGGTCAGTTGACTCAACCATTTCCCCAACTGCATGACTAAGGGAAGAGCATGGCTTGACTGCGGGAAGGAAGGAAATGGGTGAAAGAACCATGGAAGAGGAAAGGACTTAGGCTTCTAGGAAGGGCGATGCGTTGACCCCAATGAGGGGATGGATGTTGTTCCTTGCTTGTGTGGGAATTGTGCAGGTGAGTAACTCGGAATGACTTGAGCGGGACTGGGATAAGGATAAGCAAACTAGAGGAGGACCAAAGGGAAGCGAAGGGAAGGGAGGAGAGGGGTGCGACTTTGTATGGTATGAGTGTGCCTTGGTTGTTGCGTGCGAAATGGATGCACGAAGTGACTAACGGCCGCAATGGTATCGTGAATGGAATGTGTGGGCTAGGCAAAGGAAATGGTAGCGGCTTAGGGGAAGGATGGCATAGCCGCGCCCTGATGATGCAGGGGGTCTGTCGTGACGTTAGGGAAATTGTGCGCGGCCTAAGGATAACGCTTAGCCCTACGCACGAAAAGAAAAAGAATCTTCAATAAACCCCCTGGACTGCCTGAGTATTGGAAGGAGCTATTGCTTGCGAACACAACGGGGAATCGAGAATCTATGCTTGCGACAGTTGACCAGCGAGGCTGCCACCCAATGCAAGGGCTGAGCTACATCCCCGATGTCAAGCTCTCTCGCCCTATTGGCCCATCCCCATCCATCCCCATCCATCCTCATCCATACCAGAGCACTAGGTGGGGATGGCCCCGGTGTTGGGAGGAAACCCGGGGATGGGCTACCTACCGTTCGCTGAAGCCATGGGCTACGGCGCCTGTCACTTCGCCGCGCCCGCTTTCGAGGTCCTCAGCGACCAGCAGGGTCTTCCCTTTCAGCAAGATCACTCTTAGTCCTTTACCACAGGCCATTTTAAGATCTTTTCCTTCGCAAAATTTTCACAGTAATCTCGGTCGTGTCACGCAGGAATGTTSAATCCTCTCTCCGGTCCCTTCGGATCAGCTCTCCTCCGCGCAATCCGAAGAGCGGGGAAGCCGCCAAAGAGGGAACGTTAGTTTTCTTTTGGCAGAGAGCAAGGGGCCAATCAGGGCTCTTTTTAATGACTGCTTGAGTACGACTTTTTCCGAAAATGATTTGCTGTCCAGTCCGCAAGGCTCAKATCAGTGACCCAATCAAGGGTCTTCTCAGTATTTTCTCGAAAATGATATTTCCCGTAAATGACCTGCTGGTCAGTCAGCGAGGCTCAGATCAGTGACCCGATCAATGGTCTTCTCAGTATTTTCTCGAAAATAATTTTCCCCTAAAATGATCTGTTGGTCAGTTTCCCAGCCTCAGATCCGTGACCCAATCAGTGACCCAATCAAGGGTCTTCTCAGTATTTTCTTCGAAAATGAT